TTCATGTTAGGATGGAATCTTCATTTTGTACCTTTGGACAATTAAACAATCCAATTTCTCTTATTCTCCTTTCCAGACATTCAACTTTAATGATGACATCTTCTACATCTTTTTGGAAATGGGCAACTTATTGCTGAGCTATGCTTTATGGGGTGTGGTGCTTGGCACATAGCAGGGCTTAGTAAATGTTCATTAATTGTCAGTGGAAATAGTATATGACCCCCCTAATGAACCGGAATTTTGACACTATGGTGTTTTACATTTTTTTTCAACATTTTAATTGAAAGTTTTGAGTTCCAAATTCTATCCATCACTCCCCTCCCCCCTCCCTTGGACAGTAAGCAAACAGATATAGGTTATACATGTGCAATTATGTAAAACATTTCCCTAGTAGTAATTTTGTACAAGAAGACGCAAATAAAAGAAAAAAATGAAAAAAAAGTAAAAAATAGCATGCTTCAGTCTGTATCACTATAGTATTTTAAAAAAAGTCTTTATAGCACAACTTTTTTTGTTATTGAATTTAAAATCTCCCAAATGACTCAGCATAGACAAAATGCTACAGAAAATTTTCAATGTATGTCATACTCCTTTTCTTCACCTTTCCTTATGATGTGTGCTGAAATATTAAGTGTATGTTGACTGACATTCATCATCGTCATTGTAAAAGCTTTAGAGCTAGAGAAGAAGTTAGAGGTCATTCAGTTAATTCAATCAGATGCCTCAAACATGCACAAAGCATGGTGGTAGGCATAAGAGGACACAGATATGAAACTGCAGCCCTTCCCCTGGGCTGACAGCAATCTAGGCAGGGTAGGATAAGAGGATAGGCCATACATGTAAGTATGTCATAAGGTTAGAATGTGATTAAGAGCAAAGGAGGCGGTCTAGACAAAATAGTGTAAGAATCACCGGGAAGGATAGCTCACTTTCAGCTTAGGTGTGGGTATCAAGGGAGTCTTTATTATAGTGGAACTTGCGGTGGGCTTTGAAGAGCAAGGTTTCAACAGGTGATGGAGAGGAAGTGCCTTCTGGGTTAAGGAGATAGCCTGCATTCAATTAATGTGCAACAGCTGCAGACTCCAAGATTAGATGAGGGAACAGCGTGTCGCTCAGTTTGGTGGTAACATATGCACGAAAGAGAGGAAAGGGAAATAATACTGGAAAAGGCAGGCTAAGGATTTTGCATTTTTGTCCTAGTGATGTGATCAGAGTTGTGCATTAGGAAGGTCATCACAGGGGCTGTGTGAAGGATTGAATGCAGAAGGAAAAGCTGGAGGGAGGGCAATCTTTTGGGTCTACCTCCTTCTGCACACTAGTTCATCACCCGGGATCAGTCCCTCGATGACTCTTCCTAGGACTGAAAAACCAGACTTCTAATTGGACCTGCTGCCTTAAGTCTTTCTCATTTTCAGCTAGCTCCACAGAGCTGCCAGATTGACATTCCCAAGTCAGGACCTGCTCAGCCCTTTAGGACACAAACTCTTCGGTACAGTAGTCATAGATGTTTACAATCTGGCTCCAATTACCTCTCCAGGCTTCTTGAACATTCCTCCCCTTCATACGCTCTGTCACACTGGCTAACTGTACCTGGCATTCTATCCTGTCTCCACGTCAGGAATGCACTCCTATTTTTGCCTCTTAGAATCTTGATTCAGGGGACAGCTCCTACATAAGGCTTTTTCTGTCTCCTTTAGTTACTCTGAATCTGTACAATAACCATAATCTTTACACATAATACCTAAAGTGTGTATACCTACATTATATAGTATTTACTAATATATGCACATCGGTTCCCTTGATAGAATGTGAGCTCCTGAAGGACAGGGGTCATTTTCATTTTTTTCTTTGTATTCAGTGTTTGGCACAGCGCCTGGGCACATAATGAGCACTTGAGGCAAAAGTTTGTTGATTGAAAGATACCCTTGAATCATAAAAAAGGGAAATGAACTCATATGTACAAAAATATTCATAGCAGCTCTTTTTGCGGTGGCAAAGAATTGGAAATTGAGAGGTTGCCCATCAGTTGGGGAATGGCTGAACAAGTTGTGGTATATGGATGTGATAGAATACTATTGTTCTATAAGAAATGATGAACAGGTGGAGTTCAGAAAAACCTAGCCTTGCAAGGGCTGATGCTAAGTGAAGTGAGTAGAATCAGGAAAACATTGTACACAGCAATGGCAACATTGTGTGATGACCAGCCTTGATAGGCTTAGCTCTTCTCAGCAATGCAATGATCTAAGACAATTCCAAAAGGCTCAAGATGGAATGTGCTATCCACAAGAGAAAGAACTATGGAGTCTGAATGAAGGTCAAAGCATACTATTTTCTCTCTTTTTTTCCTTTCTCATGGTTTTCCCCTTTTGCTCTCAATCTTCTTTCACCACATGTCTAATGTGGAAATATGTTCAACATGATTATACATGTATAGCCTATATCAGATTGCATGTTGTCTTGAGGAGGAGGGAGGGAGAAAATAATTTGGAACTCAAAATCTTATAAAAGTAAATGTTGAAAACTATCTTTACATGTAATTAGAAAAAATAAAATACTATTAAAAAAAAAAAGAAAGATACCCTTGAGATTTGGAACTTTTGTGTCTAGGAGGATAGTGGTACATTAACGTGGTACCAAGGGGGGGGGGAATGAGTTTTTTTTTTTTAACATAGATTGTAATACCATCATTACAAGTCAAGTGGAGCTGTCCAGCAGACAGTAAGAAACTTCCTAATGAGTTGTCCAAAAGTGCAACGGGATGATGGGGTATAGTAGGTTGCCTTTCCCCTTCCCCAAACTCTACAGCAGGCCTTCTCAATCAGGGGTCAATAAGAATGTTGTAGAAGGGTTTCTTGGCCGAGGATGGTTTGGTTGAGGTGATCAAAGAGGTCCTGCAAATGGGAGACTGGAAGGAGCAGGAATGAGTAGATTTAGAAGCTGTTTGCATAGATGTGATAATTAAAGGTTGGAGAATGAGTCAGATGGCCAAAGGAGAGTATGCCGACAGTGAGAAGGCTGAGGGAAACACACTTAGGGGATGAAAGAAGGAATCTGTGATGGATGTTGAGAAGTCAGACAGGCAGGAGAACCAGGCACAAACCATGTCAGGCAAAGTGAGGAAGGAGAGAAGAGATTAAATGTTACAGAAAGGTCAAGGACAAGGAAGATTGTGTTAGAGCCATGGGAAAAGAAAAAAATAACATTCTAGAGATTTAGGAAAGAACTGGAGACAGTGAGTGTAGACTTTCTGGAAGTTTAATAGAAAAGATATAGAAAGATAGCTTGAGAAAAAAGCAGGTTAGAGTTAGGGTAAAGTCTTTTTTTGTGGGGGCCAGGCAAACAGGGAAAATGTGCATGTTTGTAGACAGAGGAGACGAAATCAGTAGAGTGCCTGAAGATGAGAAGGGAATAAGCATTTCTACAGAGCCTACTATGTCCTAGGCACTGTGCTAAGCACTTTACAAATATTATCTCTATTCACATGGGCTTTGTAATGACTATCCCAACCTGTCAGAGTTACAACTAGCCAGTCAGAAAGGCTTCTCAAGCCCAAAGCTGCTTGACATACCAGTGATCCTTTGTGAGTGAACTCTAGCTGAATTTGGAGATGCCTGTAGCTGCCAGAACCGAATAGCTCAAGGGTAACCTTAAGCGGCAGCTGCATACTCAAGACCTTGCTTGGGACTTTGTAAACACCCTGGCTTATTGTGTCTACAGATGTCTTCTCTCTTAACCCCGACCCAAAGCTTCTACAAACTATATTCTCTCATCCTTTTTCCATTCCCCTTTGAGCAGCTGAGAACTCTCTCTCCCTCTCTGCTCCCCAGTAGGATCTTCTCTCCTCTGCAATCCTTTTCTCAGCCAATAAAGCTTTGCAATCTGTGGCTGTTCTTGGTTTCATTTCAGGTCCCTTTATGGGCCTGGGGGTCTTTTGTTAACACAACAAAGCTTTGAAGTAGGTACCATTATTATTCCCATTTAATAGTTGAGAAAACGGAGGAGTTTGCCCAGGGACAAAGGCAGTAAGAGGCGGAGGCAGAATCTGACCTTCAGCCTTCCTGAATCCAGGACCAGCCCTCTATACACTGCGCCACAGAGAGTTCAGAGGAATGATTCTTGGTGCATGGTCTTCATATAGACTGGGGCCTGTGCAAAAGAAGGGGCTGGTCCAGGGAGTGGAAATGGGTTCCCCACGCCGAAGGTCTTCGGTTAGGCCATAGAAGGGATTCTTGTTCTGGTCTGTCCTTCTGAGGACCCTGCCGATTCTGAGATTCTGATATACTCGAGAAAGATGAGAGGAATAGGGAATGTAGAGAAATGTTTAGAGGTATGGAGGCAAGGAGATGAGGGAATTCAAAATGGACAGCCTCAATATTTTCAGTGAAGATGGTCAGGTCATCTAATGAAAGAAAGGGGCTGAGAGGCCAAGTCTGCTGGGGCTTGGGAAAGCTTGTAAAAGCTAGTCAGGAGTGTGCTGGAGTCAAGAAAAGACTGGAGGACCAGCATACAGTGCATGCTGGAGGTCACCTAAAGCATATGCTGAACCGCGTCGTCGTAGAGGGGCGATTTGACAAAAGAAATGTTCAGCTTATCACTAATAAATCTAAAGTTTATTAAATTTTTTAAAAATCACACAGAATAAGAAAAATACCCACAACACTGTGTTTAAATATACAATTTACAAAAGTTGACAAAATATGCAATAAGATTTTTCTTCAAGCTATTAAACAGTTTCTTAAAAGTATTAGAGTAGGAAATGTTAAACAGTAAAAATTTAAAAACTCTTACATTAAATCCAGGGGCACTTAGCATAGGAGTTAAATCCTGAAAATATTTTAACTTAAACATTTTTAAATGTGAAAAAAAAGAGAAAGGTTTAGTTTTAAATAACAACAAAGTATTTATTTTAAAATACGCCATGCATGCTACAAAGTAGCATAATTCTCAACAACTGCATCTCTGTTTTATAAATGAATTACTCAGTGTATAGAGAGACACTGGTTATTTTGCTTTCAATATGTGCTTTTTCCTTAGAATTCTCTTGATAAAGATGATCAAAATTAGAATTTGGAAGAAGACATTCTAATTAAAATAGGCATGGGACCTGGTGAGTGATGTTTTGATGGAAATGAATGTTCAACAAAACAAAGTTCATACACTTTTGAGGAGCAAATTGCTTTAGTCAAGAAAGAAAAAAAGGAAAGCACATTTCAGTTAATTTGTGTTTTTCAGCTACTTCTGTTACATAATTCAAAACACTGCAGAAATCTTTGGTGGTGACATACGGATTAAGTTCCCTGAAAATGTTAAAAAATTTGTTACATGTAACCAATAAAATATGGTCAAGTAATCATGGCTGGTAACGATGGCTATATCATTCTCTAACCAAAATCTATTGTATATGGTACATATGAAAGGGCCCCAGGGAGGGTCTGACTGTATTGAACATGTTTGTACATGTGTATACACACACACAAACACATTTTTGTCCATATTAGACATTTCTGGCTCACTTGAAAAGAAAAATATTACAGGTTGCAAGGGTAAGTGATAAATTCCTGCTACTATGAATAAACTCTGGAAATACCTAATTTTTATTAATGACAAACTAATTCCATAACATTAACAAAATATGAACAGATAAACTTATCTGGTTACAGAAGACGTGCTACAAATAGGTAAGGGCACCTGTGGCTGGCCGCTAGGTGCCTCTGGCACAGGCTGGTAGAGCGGCTTCCTGGCAGTGCCACTCAGAGACAAGGCACCCTGACTCAATAAGTGATCACCATCTCCCTTAAGATTTAAGAGCAGAATACAGTGAACAAAAGGGAATTTTCTGGTAATGAAGGAAAAGGAGACGACAGGGATATGTTTAAAAAAAAATTAGAATCTCGTAGAAGACTGGACTACAAAACACAAGTATAATTGGTCGTGGTGGTGGGGGGAACTGATTAAAGAAGAAGCATTAAGAAAAATATTCCAAAAGCAAGTAACAGGGGAAAGGGGGAGAGGAAGTGGAGAGAATAAAGAAGGCCACAGAGCAAATGGTGATGTGATCTGTATCCTCTGAAAATGGGGACCAGAAATCCTTTAAGAGGAAGAGGGATTTTTTTAATTTCTTTATAATTCCAAAAGACTTCTACTTCTAACCTTCACTTTGGATCTATGATTGTAGAAAAAAATTCAGGTTCCCAAGAGGATGACATTCCCTTCAAGTTAGGAAGTGCCTTTGCCTTTTTCCTGCTGAACAAGATTTTATCCTTTGATGGAAGATCAGTAAGATAAAGACTACACTACAGCCTGACGCTGTGGGTTTAGTCATAACACGGCCTACACAAAGCCAATCTGCACACTCTTCTAGGTTTCATGGAATTCAGGAGTGATGACCCGTCATGACCAGTGACAGTTTTGTGCACAAAAAAATGCCATGCTTTTCTCTAACCAGCATGAACTAGGCCAGCACTATAAGCATGTAAACAAAGCTTTCTCCCTGAAGAGCTGGTGATCATAAATCCCAGTGATTCAGGAGAGAAAGTGGTGAATTCTCTTAAATAATCAAGGAGAAGATGCTTATGTAGTCACTCTTATGAGCTAATTCTGGGGGGAAAGAGAGTTACTAATTGTTGCCTTCTGTTAATCAGCAGGAGTAGAAAGGGCATCAACAGGAAATGTACCATGTGTCAATAAAGATGTGATTTCCGAGCAAACCTTCCTCTTCCCACCAATGGAACACCCCTATTCCAGAAGAAATGCAGAGGACAAAAGGACTTTTTTAGGGGAAGAGCAGTGCAAGAGTCGGGGAGAACTAGTAGGATATCAGAATACAACTTCTGAACAAATATAATCCTATCTGCAATTCATGTATGAGATATTCTAAAATCTCCATTTCCTGATTACTAAATGGTCACCAGTTCTTTGAGGTGAAGATCCAATTTCCAAAAAACACATATTGTTTCATAGTCAAAAGACTTTGGCTCTAAAAAAAAATTACACAGAATCACATTCAAAAGACTTTGGTTTTCAATGTGAAGAAAGCAATTCAGGTACGTAATACTAAGAGTCCATTATTCAAGGCTCAATAATTTAAACCCCCAAACCTTTTGCTAAAAGAAGACTCATTAGGATACATTTTCCTCAGATAGAAATGGTTTTTCAGATGAAAAAAAGATAACAATCCTTATATTTCCCATTGCGATGTCCTCATCCTCAGGGGAGATATCTTAGCCAGAAATGAAATGGAGCCAGCCGATGCCAGACTCAAAAATCGATCACTGAGATTCACATAAAACCAATAATTTATGCTTCAAGCTTTGAGACGGTTCATGAAATTAGGGTGCAGTGTTGGACTGCTTACCATACTATATTTAAGCTAGTATTGTCTTTAAAACTAAAAAGCTTAATAAGTATTATTAATAGGAACATATTATATTTAACTGCAAAACAGAACTGCAAATGCAAAAGTAGATATCAGTCACACATTGCTTCTCATTCATGAGAAGGTAGAGTAATTTTAAAAACCTAAAACGGATATTTAATGAAAAGGTCAGCTATGTTTCATTTTTCCAAAATCAAAATACATTTAAAGAACTAAACCCATAGGAAGAAAAATTAAAGAGAATAAAGCATATATATGACGTGGCAAAATGAGACAAAGAATGGTGAAAATAGTTTCAATAAAAGAAAAAAATGTACAGCTGTAAATAAGTAAACAATTTTAAGTGTGCAAAGCTGTATAGGTATGAAAGTGCTGGGTGTAGATACCTGGTTTTCATATCAGAGTTTTAAAACTTGGTGAGGATTAGGAGACCTGAAAATCTTACAAAAATAAAATTTCCAAGGATATATAAAATGTAACTTATTCTCTCTCCTTCTGTGCTCACTGTACCAATGCACAAATTTAGAATAAACTGGTCTCTTTCATGACTCATTATATAATTTACATAGCACAAATGGAGGTAAGCAAATTACAATAACCATAAAGGCTTTGTAAAGTTTCCTGAACCAGAAAAATGTTCTTTTCAAGTACACTAAAGAAATTTTTTGTGTGTGTGCTTTTGCCTTGTACAGCAAAGACTCAATTAGTGTTAACCAACTTAAAAAGGGGTAACATTTTCTATCACTTGTAATTTATCTTCAGAGTTTAAAGAAGTACAGTTTATATAAATAGCTTTTAATAGTTGAGAATATTAAGTAATAATTAGAGAAATAAAAGCTACCCATGTACTTAACAGATAAAAGCTATTGCTATCCATCCTATCATCACTGTTCCTTGAGGAATTATTTTAAATGGACAAACATGTGATGTATTGAAATCAAGTTATTGCATTACAGCAGTTTACTCTGAGATATCTGGTCAACTAAAAATACACCTGTGGTCTCTTCTTCACTTTATATTTTAATGAGCCATATCGTACCTGAGGAAAGAAACACAAGATATTATTATAAATTAGTCACTGGTTATAGCTTATTAAATATAGCTACTTGAAACCCCAACTTTTACTGCTAAGCATTTGACTTTAAATCAGTATAACATTAAGTCATGCACATTGTAAGATATTCATTTCTATTAGGCTCCATCATTTCATCAGATTTTTTTTTTTGGTAAAACATTTATGTCTCAATTATCCCACAGATATGCATACATATAAAACACAGTACAAACTCCTTAAAAACGTAATTTGAATCATGGTGGAACAATGACAAGTATAATCCCAGGGGTAGTGGGATTGTCATAGAAAATTCCAGTCCCTGGTCCTCTAGCCAATGAACGTGCTTCTGCATTTTTCTTTGGCTTGTGGAATGATGATCTTGATATACTAAATGATTCTCCATTGCCCTGTGATGTCACTAATTACTGAGCATGGTGGAAGTGTTCGGCGTACGTTAACACCTCTCATCTTTGAAGGCCTGTTACCAAGTCAGCCATGTTTGCCTTTTGGCAGCTGCCTTCTTGTGTTTTGTGCAGGGTCATTTCTGGCCAGATATGGTAGGTAATTCTGCTCACTAGAATATCTGATTAACTGGAACATCCCATTCCCCATCCAGCATCTTACTGCATAGTGAGGAGTTTGCTCTATTCTGAATTTCTTGAACTCTTCAAAATTCCAATTTCCATAAAATCTGCTCTCCTATTTACTATATCAAATTTTCATTGGTCTTTCTTTGTGGGTAACAGTTCTCTAAGATAACACTGCAAAAAAGTCACATAATCCTAATCAAGGACAATAAATACTGTACTTGACTGGCCTCTTTGCGACTTTTGACAGTCTTCACAGACTTCATGCTTTGCGATCTTCGAAGGCCTCTGTGTGTTACCATTTCATCGTCTGAATACGGCCCATCACCATCTTCGTCTGTTTTCTCATCTCCATCTTTTGAGGGAATTCTGTAACCTGAACATGTTGACAAAGACAGTAAGTCTTGAGAGGGGGATGCTGCCATCGCCGCCTCCTGCTCCCCCACTCTCACAGCATAACTCCCTTACTCCTCTCCAGTGAGAACTGTTCACTGTATCAAGCTCATCTGGAAAGTCTGGCTTGGCTAATGCCTGGCCTCAGGTACCCCTTGCCTGTATTTTCCTGCAGCAGTAATTTAGAGCTTAGACTGGCTCACTTATACATGCTATGTTGGAATCGCTTTGTTCATGTTTTATCTCTCCATAGATTATGTGCTTCTTGAGGGAAGGGTCCAAGAAGTCTTCTGTTTTCCCCAAAGTATCTAAAGCATGATTTTACCCAAAAAGAGTGCTCAATTAATGGTTTATTTGTTTATTTATACCAAATTTATACCAAACATAAAGTTTGAAAAAGCAATAGACTAAGGCATTTTCTGATACAGCTGAATGTAGCAAATAGATGACAGGCCTTAGATTCCCATCAGGGTGATCTGGATTCAAGTCACACCTCTGATACCCACTAGTGGTGGGACCTTCAGCAAGGCACTGGATCCCTTCGGGCCATAAGTGATAATGCTCTCAACTGCTGAGGAGGTGCCAATATGCATTGGTAGAGGGGGGGGGTTTCCTTACTGGGAACTCCCTACCCTGGTGAAATCATAATCCCACAGATCTGATTTAAAAATAAAAAGACAGGAAAACACAATTGGGAAAGTTTTAGTTTTATCTCATAAAACCTTTTAAAAATTGTGAGTTAAAAAGAGTAGAATGAAAATCAATTATATTTTTTTGGGTCTAGAACACAGAAATTGTCTTCAGACAATAGACATGATTAAGTTAGGAAGGAAGTTGATCTTAGGAAATCAGCTAGCTATCACCCACGCCAAATGACCCTGGTACCATTGTGCTATCCATTACCTTATTTGCCGCAGCCCCTTAAAGCTCTTTAGTACCACAGAGCAAATTACCTGATACTAATTTGAAGGAACCAGGCCCCCTATCACGTGCTTTCCCACCTTGAACACTGCGTTGCTGAAAGGCTCAGCTTTTAAGGCAGTAACATGTTAAAGAAACAGAAACCCTACTGAGATGAACCTTCTTCAGTTGACTTTTCCCAAAGGTCCTAACCAGGACCTTTTAGAAAATCATGTTTTCAACTGAAAAAGAAAGAAGGGTACAGAGAATTTAGGATAGTTCATCCAGAGTAGTGCAAAAACTGCCTTTGAAAGAGCCTAAGAGCAAGAAAGAGAGAGGCCAGGCCTCTCCTGGTACACTGGCCATGCAGCTGAGGGATATCAGCCAAGACCAGAAAGAACAGGCCTAGAGCTCAAGGAGAGAAGCGCCTTTCTTTTGCAGAGGCCAAAAGCAGCCTAAGAAGAGAGACTGACTATGGACTAGAGGGTAAAAGAAGGACTGACTGAAAGAATGGGAAGCCCAAAGTTCAGGGCCAGGAGGCTGGATCAGGAAAGGAAAGCTCAGAAGAGAAGAATGAAAGAAATATTCTCTTATTGGTCTGAGCTTTGGGGAAATAGCTTAGGAGAAAAAAGCAAAAATGCTTCATCTTCTCTTCCTCCTGCCTTAGGGGAACTTGAACAAAAATCCATAGGAGAGGAACATTTTTTTTTTTCAGGATTTGGTGACTCTTTGTAAGACGGTTTGGATCATGTATGATTTTTTTCCCTCTCCAAGGAACCGAGAAAGAACCCATTACAAGAATTTGTAAAACATCCTCTGACCAGATTTGAAATCTGAATCTCCTTTCTATCATGACTGCTTTATCCTCTGGCTGTTGTTGCATGGCTTATTCTCTTAAAAGAACGAACTCCACCTTGCCTGGAAAGAAAAAAGGCTGACAGAGGCAGGAGGAGCAATTGTGCTGCTGGAGAACATTCTAGGTCACCTGGACAGAAAGGGATGGAAAGGTTACTGGAGAAGCATGCTGTGTCAGCGATGGAGGAGTGTCTGCTGGGTCATTCTGACCAGAGCACAGAGGCTAGTCATTTCTTGCTTTAATGATAATTTCATTCTTCAAAAGACAGAGAAAGCAACAAAGGGAAATTCCATTCTTGAGCTAATTCCTACCAAGAAAGACGAGCTGGTGGATAGAGCAGAAATGATGAAAACCTTGGGGGAAGTGATCACTCTGTCCTTTCTTGAGTTTGTGACAGAGAAGAAAGCCAAACAGTGTCACATGTACATGAGATTTGGGAAGAGCAGATCTGGGAGGGTTCAGAGGATCCCAGGACCCAAAGTGCCAGAAAAGCCAGCCCTAGAGATGGATACCATGTCATGCCCCACCATCCCCTCTATCTCATCACTGCTAGGGGCTCCTGGTCAGGAGTAATCACCTCTAGGATCAAACAGAAAACTCTCTGCTTGGCTTTTAAGGCCCCTCCCTATGCTTCCAGTCTTCTTACACCTTACTCTCATCCATTCACCTTGACTCAGTGACACTGGCCTCTTGAGGCTCCTTTCCCAAGATGCTCCATCCCCCCATTCCAGACACTTTCACTGGCTATCCCCCAGGTTCGGAACATCCTCCCTCCCTATCACTGCCTCCTCACTTCCTCAAGTCTCAGCTAAAATCCCCCCTTCTTGGTCCCCCTTAACGCAAGTGTCTTTTCTCTGCTGATTTTCTCCAATTTACCCCGCGGGGCGTTGTTTCTAGATTGTGAGCTGCTTGAGAGGAGGGACTTTCTTTTGCCTTTCTTTGTAAACCCAGCGATTGACACAGTGCCTGGCACATACTGAGCACTTAATACTGCTAGCTGACAGACAGTATTCTAAGATGTGAGGAACTTTCTGTTCTTTTAGTTATATGTTTATTTTTATGTGAAACATTTATATGTTAAACAGCACTGGTATCCTAGGCTGAAGTGAAGAAGACAAAATACGGGTAAATGTAAAATTTTACTTGTGGGTTCAAAAAACATTTCACAAGCCCCAAACGGAGGAAGCCTGGTTAGAAAGCAGTTTGGCGGAATGAAATCTGTGAGGTTTAATGAACTGCAGCCTCAATGAATCGACAGTGACATATGGCAGCCAAAAACCTAACGGGATCTTGGGGTGCATTAAGAGTGGCTGAAAGTCCAGAGACTCTTGGACACTGTACACGGCACTGGTGAGATAGTATCTGTTCAGTTGTGGGCCCATTTTAAGAAGGAAGTGGATAAGCTGGAGGCTGTCCAGAGTAGGGCGGTCAAGATGGGGAAGGCCATGTCACACGAGAATTGGTGGAAGAAGCTGGACACATTTTGTCTAGGTCATCCGAGGAGGAGAGCGATCTTTAAGCTTTGAGGACTATAAAGTAGAGGAGAGGGGTTAGCTGCATTCTGCTTAGCCTGAGAGGGTGGAAGTTGGATGTCAGAGAGGCAGATTTAGGCTTGATGCAAGGAAAAACTCCCAACAATTACAATCCTCCAGATGTGGAGTGACTGCCTCAGGAAGGAGTGGGTTCCTCAGCATAAGGGGAATGTTGCAGGAGGAATCTTAGCTCAGGTACAGATGGGACTAGTCCATGGCTATGGAAGTCCCTTCCAACTCTGAGAGACCGTGGATCTAAAATATCACTATATGAAAAATAAAGGCTTGGTTACAAATGATCCCCATGGAATTAAGTACTATTTATTGCAAGTGACTTAATTTCAGAAGTATTTTATCAGTTGTAGGAACTATCTTCATGTGTATGCATGTCTGTGTGTATGTGCACATGTGGTTCTGCCCTGTATCTCCATTGTGAAGGGGCGCCCCATGAAGAACTCCCTCTGCCAACAGATGCAGGGAGGCGAGTGTTCAGCATCTTACCATCTCAGAGCACGGCCTGGAGCCCCGAGAACTTGGGTGACCTGGATGCTTACTTTTTTTTATTACTATTTTGTGTCTCAGCTCCCATGCTATTTATAACAATTAGACCCAATGAGCATTTCATACGGTGATCCCATGTTTAATTAGATTTATCTTCTCCATTACATTACCCAAAAATCCACACATTATTAAATGAACTAATTTGTCATTATTTGTAACTAGCAAAGTATGAAGGTTGCCTAAGCAGAAAATTCCTTAAATGTTGTAAAAAACAGAAGTATAAACAGCGTGATTGGAGACACCATTCCCAAGCTGTTCCAAATGCAAATCTCTCTCTAAGTTGGCAGCCCATCTGTGTCTTCTAGAATGGGGAGGGGAAGGGCAGGAGGAATCCCTTAGGGGATGCTTACTGGCCCATGCTGTCACCGAAGCCAGCCTGCAATGTGGTGACAGGAGGAGAGGCTGCTGCCAGAGGCACAGGCTTTAAGGAGGTGATTCGGACCCTGAGAGTGACTTTGCTTTATCTCCTCTCCAAGTCAAACCAGCTAACAAATCTTACTTGGGGAAAAGGTACAGAAAGAACAAGGAAAAGTTAAAACTTGGAATTTTAAGAGCCCCAGACAAACGTTAAGAATATAAGACACATTTATACAAACAAATCTGGCTGAAGACATTGCATATTTCAGGCTTATGCCCTTAACCCTGATCCCCAACCGCACTGTGTCACTAACAGGCTTGAATGAGAATCCACACTCTCAAATGATGGCAGTGGCTGCTAATTGGCCAAACACATACCTGTGGATTCACCGGAAGTGGTTTTGGTTTTCTTTTTTGTTTCAGGGGCAGGCTGATAGGGCCCCTGTCCCACAGGTTCATCTCCTTGAATGGCTGTTAAATCGTGCATGCTGAAACTTCTTAAACGTTCAGTGATCGCTCCTTGACTCTACAGGGCAAAAAACCATGGCAGGACTCACAAAAGGGGGTATTTGTTAACAGTACTGAATGAGTTCAACATTTAATTTTAGAAGAGGGAAAAAAACCCTTAAAATGCTTTAAGGCACAATCCTAATGGCATGCAACAAAAGAAGCATTCATAGTTTTGCTTTTCCCCTTAAAAGTAGCATTTTTCTTGTGCTTAATGAGTTCGCATCCTGTAAAAAGTTATTTGTTTTTAAAAATATAAACAAAGACACTGGCTGGCTGCTAGACTAGAGATCTCTGAGCAGCCACTCATCATGGACATGGGCTGAAGGGAAAACAACGTGAGGATGTAAGGCAAAATGAGAGTGAACTAAAATAACTAATTTTGTTAAGCAACCAGGCACATCTAGTGCTGTCCGCTTTGGCATTAAGGCATTTCATCTAAGCACTCTGGGAGAGATGGCACTCGTGACCTTTCCAGGGCACACTTCCATTTGTACCCATGCTATAAAGGTCTCTTCACAGAAATCATCTCCAGACGAAGACCTTTTCAAAATTCAGAAAATAAGTGCATGACTCATTCCTCGTAATTGCTGGGTTTAAAATATTTCTAAATATTTTTGCATTAATAATCAACAAGAAATTTGTTGTACGTACTACATTTTGTCTTGAAACACCTAGCAACATAGCAACTCAAAGTGCATAACAGACCCACAGGCTCAGGTGAGCATAAGTGCTCTGTTCCCGAACATGTGTATTATTTTCCTTGCTGTATAATAAGATCCTTTGCAGCTGTTCAGGCTGGAACACCAGGTGGTATATGGCATCAGGAACTAGGAGTCATTACCATGGGAACCATATACTCTAGCTTTGTCTGGCTGCCATATTTTCTGGGCCGTAAAGAGGAACTGTGCTAATAAAACAGGGTGAAATGGAGGACAAGGAGCTCCTTCAACTCCCATCCCTCCCCCTACTACCCCTGCCCGCGCACATTCATGCCTTCATTTTTCAGAAAAAGAATTCTGACTTAGACCAGCTTTTACATATTACCAGAAATTTTTAGACTTTATTTTTGCAGATTCATCTTTATGAGGTACTAGTTAGGGATTAAACACACATGTGTAACTGCCTTAGGCTCCTGGGATGGATACATTTCAAAGAAACCTTGTGCCCTAACAGAAGGCTGCTGACTGACAGACAGCTCAAGCACATGGCTCGGTCTCCTGAAATATCAGGGCTCCCCAATCACACCTGGGCCTGCCTGCGTCATCACCCTGCATGGGCAGAGTTCTCTGATCCCTCCAGTACCACATAGCTTTCCTCTCATGCAGTCATTTACGCTCTTCTTTCTAGATACATCCACAAACAGTATCTATCCAGCTGCCAATAATGAAAAGTAGAAGGTGGGTGACAGGGGGATTCATTTCTTCTAAATTCAGGAATACCTGCACCCTATTGGTTTTAAGCCACTTAAGGGCAGAGCCCACCTAATTTGCCCTGAATAGTAACTAACACATGGACAATATGCCCAGTGAGGGTTTTCCTAAGTGCCCTCTGATTAGATGAGTTTTAAAAAAATTAAATCCTGCCCTTAGGAGTTTGCCTAATCCCTGGCAGGAGGCTGGCCTCCCATTCCTACCTTCTTATTCAATGTAAACTTTGCCCATGTACAAGCCCCAAAAGTCATTCACCAGGCAGTCTACCTGATATGCTAGAGGTCATCCTCTGCTCACTGCTCATCCAGCAAGGATGCCGGCTGACCACTGATTATCCCTTTATTTTGTTATATGACCAGTTGCCAAACCTTTCTACATTAAGGAAGAGACAGCCTACAGAATGCAAGACGCTGAAAAGTTGGCCCATTGGCTAATAATGAGCATTCTAGTTCCAGAAATATTAGAGAAGATCAAGCTGAGAGAGAAAAAGCTGTCTGGGCCTGCCATCCATTGCTGCAACTAAAGGAAACACAGAGCCTATGTGCAGTTTTTACTTTATACCTGTTTTTCTGAGGATTTTTTTTTCTGGTTATGCCCATTTACTTTTGAAGAGTTTCAGGTTTCCCCTTTTATGACTTGTTTCCCCATTCCCACAGGCTTTTACAAATAAATTAATTAGAAAGACTGAAGCTTAGACCTTATTAAATTTTTTTTTGTCCCTTGAGCCTGAGCTCAAACATCACTGGAGGGGCTGGGGCAAGAGGGGACTTGACGAAGAAAATGCATAGATGCCTATCCCAAGACTCCAAATCCGTCACCCTTTAGTTTCTTACTCCTACAAAGCCTTCCTAGACAACTATTTTTACATATGTTAACCTCCTTCTTAACTCCTACAGAGATAAACACATACACATACATATGTAGTATATGTATGTGTATGTAGACATGTATGTGCATGGCACTTAAATGTTATGTTACCTTCTACTGTTATTTTATTTTTCCATCTGCAAATGTCTTGCTGGGCTTAACTTTCCTCTGTATTCAACACAAGCCTGAACTACCCAGGTGACCCCTCAATTGAAACAGATGAGACAGCAACACTGCCCCATGATAACAACACACTAGCCTCAGGCACAGCCGAGGGACGCAGCCCTAATCAGACAGACAAGGCAATTAGACTGAGTTATACAGTCGGCTCCCTAAAGGTTTTTTAAAAAAATTTTTTATGCCTTAAATCCCTCTGGCAACCAGTCTACCGGCTCTTTAGATTGCAGCATTTCTCATACCTTAGTACCAATTTGGTTTGGCTCTTCAACTTATACTCGTTCCTAGCAGTTCAGACCCTGCTTCCTCAGTTCCCAGGGGGAACTGACCTTTCTTCCAGCACAGAATTTGCCTAAGCCTTGACATGTGCCCTGCAGCTCAATGCCATCTTTTTAGCTAATGTGAATCTTATCCATGTCCTCCCATAATTCCTCCACACATGAGTGGGTAAATGGGGGAATGACTTAACGTGCTGGTGGTCATCCGATCTCTTGAGATTGTAAGGATGCCAAAGGAGCACATGGGCTGACTACCAATTATCTCTTGTTCTTGCTCCATGACCAGTCTCACCAAACCTTTTCTCACACATCTCTCTGATGCTTTTTCCTGTGTGATGTTTTGCTGGTAACGTGTGGCCCCTTCCTCATGCTTACAAATGTACCTTTCCACTATCCTCTGGTTGACCTGCAATTTTAGTCTCTGAGAGGCTGTGGGATTCCATAATTTGCAGACATACAACACTATTGGAAGACTACTGATGCTAAGATGAGCCTTTGCTTTAGGAAGAAGTTAGGGGCCATTAAAAATATCATCTTGTGTTCCAAAAGCAGCCCCATCTGCCTTTTTTGCCCTGTCCAATTTCGGTCCAGCTGCAATTATGGTTTAAGATATAGTTCCTAATGGATCCACTCTATGGGCTATTCATCTAAGTACATGTAATAATATATGAAGAACAAACTTCTTTTTTCCTGAGTAAACAGGCCAAACTTTTGAGTGTTTACTGAGTTCATTTGAGAGAATCTGCATTGTTCTGGGGCATAACGGAAGCCACACAATGTCATTCGCAAAAAAGAGCATCTGGAGGGGCAGCTAAGTGGCACAGTGGATAGAACTCTAGCCTTGGAGTCAAAAAAGAGCATCTGGAATACCTTGGCATTTAAAGAACATTCTCCTTCATTTTGGACTCCCACGTTGGCTGTCTTTCATACCCACGGCAGACACTTTTGGTAATAAGCATTAGCCTCCGATGCACAGACTGCAATTAAATGTTGAACAAAAGATCTATTTCTTAAATTACCTTGCATAGTTGATATAAACATGGAATACATCTTATTGGAAGAGAATCTTTAATTAAGACTATAATCAGTCAAGAAGCAAGCATTAAAGCGCCTACTATGTGACTTCACTCTACATGTGAGATACAAATACAAAAGTGAGATGATCCTCAATCCTCGCTACTGAGAAGCCTGCATCTACCAGGGCAGGGGTGGGCAACCTGCAGCCTCAAGGCCACATGTGGCCCTCTAGGTCCTTAAGTGCAGCCCTTTGACTGAATCTAAACTTCACAGGACAAGTCCCCTTAATAAAAGGATTTGTTCTGTAAAACTTGGATTCAGTCAAAAGGTTGCACCCAAGGACCTTCTAGAAGGCCACATGTGGCCTCGAGAGGAAGACAATATGTTCATAGAGAAGGATTTATTCAAAATGAATACCAAGTGGATGGAGGCTGGGGAATCCGAAAAGGACCGATAAAGGAGTAGCCCTTGATCTGAGCCTTGAAAGAAGCGGGAATGAAGCGGAAGGCCTTCCAAAAGGCAGATGTGAGGACCATTAATGCCTGCAATGTTCTTACATCGTGCCTGTAGAAGCAAAGGGGACAAAGGAGGTATGGCCCTTTTGGGGAACAGTAGGCCAGTATGCCTTGCACCTAGAGTGCACAAAGAAGAGATGGGAATATATATGCCTTCTGGAAAGATAGGCTGGAGACAGACTTTAAAGAACTTTAAACACAAAACCTTGAAGTTTGTGTTTTTTCATAGGGGCACAGGAAAGCCAGTGAAGCTTCTTGGGCAAGTGAATGGCAGGATCAAACATGTATTTTATAAAGAACAGTTAGGAACGGTGAAGAAGACGGATTGGAAAGAATGGACTCAGGGGAAACAATTAAGTGATTTTAGTGCAAAACTTTCTCTCTCTCTCTCTTTCTTTCGCAATTGGGGTTAAGTGACTTACCCAGGGTCACACAGCTAGTAAGAATCAAGTGTTTGGTCTGAGGCTGGATTTGAACTCAGGTCCTCCTGACTTCAGAGCCAGTGCTCTATCCATTGTGCCACCTAGCTGTCCCCGCAAAACAACTTCAAACCTAATAAATGATGCCCTGGACTTAGGGAATTTTGATGTGAACAAAGAGAAGGGATGGAGGTAAGAGATGGCAAGTAAGGAGATCATCCTGTGATTAGAGGAGATGGCAGCCAGCTGGACAGGAAAGACTGATGGAGGAGCCAGGCCAGATGGGTTTTCATGTTCAGACAATGACCAGAGC